GGATTAGTTGTATTTTCCGGGTCACCTTCAAAGGTCCACCACATAGAGCACATTGCAGTAGTCCAAGCGGGAGATAACTAGAGCATGCACCACTCTGGCGAGACAGTCCGTGGGCAGGTAGGGTCTCAGCCTGCGTGCCAGATGGAGCTGGTAGACAGCTGCCCTGGATACAGAATTGACCTGCGCCTCCATGAACAGCTATGAGTCCAGAATGATTCCCAGGCTGCGCACCTGGCCCTTCAGGGGCATAGTTACCCCATTCAGGACCAGGGAGTCCTCCACACCTGCCCGCCTCCTGTACCCCCAAAACAGTACTTCTGTCTTGTCAGGATTCAACCTTAATCTGTTAGCCGCCATCCATCCTCCAACCGCCTCCAGGCACTCACACAGGACCTTCACCGCCTTCACTGGTTCCGATTTAAAAGAGAGGTAGAGCTGAGTATCATCCGCATATTGATGGGACACCCAGTCGAAACCCCCGATCTCTCCCAGTCCAAACCCCCTAACATCTCTTTTTAATAGATGTTAAAAAGCATGGGGGAGAGGACGGAACCCTGAGGCACCCCACAAGTGAGGGCCCAGGGGTCTGAACACTCATCCCCCAACACTACTTTCTGGACACGGCCCAGGATGAAGGAGCAGAACCACTGTATAACAGTGCCCCCAGCTACCAGCTCCTCTAGATGGTCCAGAAGGATGTTATGATCAATTGTATCGAAAGCCGCTGATAGATCCAGCAGAACTAAGAAACAGCTTTCACCTTTGTCCCTAGCCTACTGCAGATCATTGACCACTGTGACCAAGGCAGTTTCAGTCCCATGGTGAGGCCTGAATCCTGATTGGAAGGGATCCAAATGGTCCACATCCTCCAGGCGTGCCTGGAGTTGTTCAGCAATCACCCACTCAATCACCTTGCCCAAGAATGGAAGATTTGAGACTGGGCGATAGTTGGCCATATTGGCCAGGTCTAAAGATGTTTTTCTTCAGAAGCGGTTTAATGACCGCCTCTTACAGTGGGCCTGGGAAGGCTCCCTCACAGAGGGAAGCATTCACCACCCCGTGAAGCCCATTGCCCAGCCCTTCCCGGCTTGCTTTTATTAGCCAGGATGGGCAAGGATCAAGGAGACAAGTGGTTGGTTTCACGCATCCAAGCAGCCTGTCCACATTCTCAGGAGGAACAGATTGAAATTGATTCTATGCAACTCGACCAGACAGGGCTCTAGCACTCTCCTGCCCTGGTCCTGCTCCCACGGTGGTGTTTGCCTCCTTCCGAATCTGAGTGACTTTATCTGCAAAAAACTTTGCAAAATCGTTGCAGGAGATTTTGGGGTCTTTACATATCCCCAATGGTTAAATTGTAAACCACCTGAAAGAGTCTCCTGCTACTATTTTCTGCAGATGCAGTAGAGGCAGTGAAGAAAGTCTTCTTCGCCGTTGCTATCGTCACTTGGTAGGCTCGATGTTGAGCTCTAACCTGTGTCCGGTCTGATTCAGAATGAGTTTTCTGCTACCGGCACTCTAGCCGTCTCAGCGATTGTTTCATTGCCCTCAGATCTACGGAAAACCACGGGGTTCTCCGGGCTCCATGCAATCGGAGAGGGCGCTTCAGAGCCAGACAGTTGATAGCCCTGGTTAACTCCACATTCCAGCGGGCCACCAGGGAATCAGCTGAAAGGCCATCAACATGGGATAAAGCATCACCTACGACTCTCTGGAAACCATTTGGATCCATTAAGTGGCAGGGGCGGACCATCCAAATTGGTCCCACTTCCCTGCAGAGGGGAAGGGTCACAGAGAAGTCCAGTTGCACCAGGAAGTGATCTGACCATGGCACTTCTTTTGTTTCACTTTTACTTACTGTCAGATCGCCCATGTCACTAGAGGTGAACACCAGGTCTAAGACATGTCCGCGACTATGAGTTGGGACAAACTTATTCAGGGACAGCCCCATGGAGGCCATGCTCTCCACAAAGTCCCGAGCGGCCCCTTTGTAAGGTCGTGTCGAAATGGGTATTAAGGTCCCCTAGGACAACCAAACTAGGTGTCTCCAGGAGAACATCCGCCATGACCTGAAGCGGCTCAGGCAGGGAATCCTTGGTGCAGCAGGGAGGTTGGTACACCAACAATAGGTTGCCCCTATTGCCCAACTTCCAGAACATACACTCAGGGAACTGGGTCTTCCCAATAGGATGCCTGATGCAAGCTAGACTTTCTAATAATCACTGCAACCCCCCCTCCCCGCCCACATGACCTGGGTTGCTGTGCGTAAGAGAAACCTGGTGGACAAGCAGCAGCTAGGACAGGCCCATCTGCTTCATCCAACCAAATCTCTGTTACACATGCCAGGTCAAGTCCTCCATCCATGCTGTGGTCTTTTGATGAAGGGTACTATATCAATTTTAATAATAATAATAATAATAATAATAATAATTAAAAAAAATAGCATCAAGCAACAGCACCAAATTAGTATGGGTTGTATGGGTTGGGAAGCTCAGCCTGGCACTGCCCTCCAGCTGTTTTGGAAAGCGACTCCCATTTGTGCTGGCTGAAGCTGATGGGATTTGTAGTCCAGAGCAGCTGGTGAAAGCTGGGAGAGGACACCCAGCTCCTGGAAACCTCAGCTCAGCAAAGCCCTTGTGAAGGATCTGCACAAACTCAAAAAAAGCCAGACGCCGATGGCAGATTTTTTGGCAGCTGTTGCTGGACCGGCCAAAGAGCTGTTAGCTGATCTAGATTAGCTGGCCTGGGATCATTAGCCTAGATTAGCTCTGGTGGGTTGTAGCTGAATCCTGATTAGTTCATCTGTGTTGCTTAAATCCAGATTAGCATCTCTGGCTTTGTTAGCCCCGATTAAAGCTTTATAGTGGGGCGGGTTTGATACACTCCAGTTACAGATGAAAGCAGGGACCAAAGTGCTGCAAGGAAAGGCAGACAGACCATGGGCTCTCTCTCTGTGTGTCTGCCTCCAAACAGAAGTTTGCTTGGATCGGTGTGGGTCACATGGAACTCAGCCTGCCATCCAACAGGTGAAGTTGCCCTGCAGGTGCGCCAAGACTCTGGTTGTTCTGATTGATCTGTTAAGAGTCCGATAATGATGGCAGAAGAAACACAGACATTGGGGTGGGTGGGGCTTGCGTTGGCTTTTTCCATGCCCTTGCAAAGCCCACTCAACCTGAACATTAGTACATTTGCAAGACCTCTTGCCCAGCCTCAGGACCAGATTTGGAGCCTTTCCCTTTTGACTGAGCAGTGCCCCTTTCCAGGCACCTCCTGAATGTTTTGGCCCTTGGCTCTACTCTGCTTAAAACATCTCGTGTCACAAAGGCAGGAGGTCACTAACCCCAGTGGAATAGGGTACTTGCCACCCACTGCTAGACTCCATGATCCCTGCCAGCTTTAGGGCTGTTCAGCAACAAATATACCTTGTGTATGGGAGCTCTAAACACCAAGTTTTAGATGTGGCCGGATAGCCAAAGACAGGGTGGAGGTTTCTTTGGAAGCAGGCCAGCCTGATTGTGTGCTTGCTTCTGTGTCCTTTCAAAGTCTGCTCAACCTGTATGCTTACACATAAAAGTATCACAAAGGCACTGCTACAGTCTCCAGAAGCTTTCCTCCAAAGGGAGCTTCATAAAAGGGCCTCTGGATTTCAATTGCTCCAAGGTGAGCAGCACAAAACACTGTTTTCTGCCAAAAAAAATGTTGTATGGGCATACTTGCCCTGTTTTCTTGAAATTGTAGTGATTATATATACATTTGCTTTTCTCTCCAAATATAAGTAGTAGCATATGCAGACCCATGTCCTCTCTTGGGGCCATGCACAAGTGGCCACACTCGGCCCCATTGCGAAAGGGTGCAGGGGCTCATCTAGCCCAGAGAAGGCTCTGGGGAGGAGGCTGGTGTGCTGCAGCCCAGCAGAGGTGGCTGCTCCCAGACCTGGAAGCTGATTGAACAGGACAGGTTGGGAAATGCACAGGAAGCAGCTCTGCCCAAGCTGTCCCCCCTCATTAGCAGAGAAGTCTGTCTCTTTCAGCTCTGATCGGGTTTTGTGGGCCCAGCCAGCTCACACATGGTTTGCACAGAGGGCAGCTCTGCAACCCAAAGCTGCACAATACTTGGAGTTCGGGGGGGGGGGGGGAGAGCATTGCAAGTAGGGGGCAACTGAACCCTCCTGGAAACATACTGACCTGGAGTTAACACAGCCTCCCCACCCCAATGCTGCATGTAGACTGATATACCCAGGCACCAGTGATTTCAAAGCCATTAGATCAAGAAGCCCTGCAAACCTTCCTCTCACTCAAGCAATAGCTGTGGGCTGTGGCAAGTGCCAGGGAGTGAACAAGCACCTTGTTTAAAGAATTTCTACCTTGATCTTCAGTCAAAAAGTTTCCATGCACAGCGGGGGTTCCCAGTGTTTCCCCATCCGCAGGAGCCTCTAAGTCCCCCCCCTCCCTTGGGCAAGAGATGGGTACCCTTTTCTCCCTTGGAAAGTACATAGAGCTAAAGAATGAAACTGCAAGAGCGGCACTCCTTCCCACCTCTTCTTCCAGCGGGAAGAAGGGAACAGGGGAGAGAGAAGACGCCCAGCCCTCATTCAAAAATCCAAAAGCCCTGGTCTAAAAAGTATGGTGCCCCCTGACCTCTGGGTAACATTACATGTGTGAAGCACCCATACTCCCTCCACTGCAAACGCACCTACAAGTGTGCTACCAGGAAGTGGGCTGGAAGCCTTACAGAAAGGAGAGCTCTGAGTTTACCCCGTTCCTCTTGCTCAGTTAACTCATGTGCCCAAACAGTCAGTGTGTCTCACAAGTCATTCTGTATTTTCAGTTACTAGCAACAGAACGTGGGCCCAGGAGGGGAAGCACAGGGCAGCCAATGCTCTGGCGTTGCCTTATAAATCAAGAGTATAGCCACAGCTCACCCATTCCTTTCCCCACTTTGACAGATATGTATTTTGCTGAGGGAACAGCTAGGGAGGTCTCTAATATACAATAAGAGAGAGCCAGAGGTGGTCTAGTGGTTAGAGCATCAAACTAGGGACCTGGGGGGCCAGGGCTCAAATCCCCACTTGGCCACAAAGATTTCATTGAGTGACCTTGGGCCATTCTCTATCCCACCCTACCAGGTTGGGGTGGGGATTAAACAAGAGGGGTAGAACCATTTGTGCCACCTTGAGCTCCTTAGAGAAAAAGGTGGGATATACAAACAAACAAACAAACAAACAAACAAAACAAACAAACAAACAAACTGCTTTAAACAAAACAAATGATGACATTTGCTACCCACGTCCGACTGCCTCAAAAAGAATGTCAGAAGTTCCCTTTAAGCGCAAAGTTAAATTCTCAAACCTGCATCAAGTTATGCAAATGTGTAAGCATGCCTTTCGTTTGTGTAATTAAAAGTTGCGGCAGGCTGCCTCTGCGTGTCTGGAGCAGATTGAGGATGGGGGAGGGCGTGTAACACCAAAATGCCGCTTCAGCCCCCGCTGAGGCATGGTGGCGCCAGCCGCCTTTTCGGTTTGCTGGCGGATATCCAGGCGCTGAGGAAAGGCAGGAGGGAGATGCCTCAAAGCCTTGCCCACCCACTACGGACACACGACACGCATCGCCTTCTGGAAAGTACGCTCTCTGTATTTGTTTCAGAACATCTGTGATACAGGGTTTCATCCGGTATAAATAAAGTAGAAAATCTTACAATTCATTTTCGTCATTATTTTAACAAAAATACCAAAAAACTTATTAAACCTGAAATTAAAGGCGGGGAGACTCTAGCAATCACACGGGATTCCAAATCACTGGTAGAAAGGGGAGATCAAAAACACTCGTTCGGCATTATTAACCTTCTCTCTGCCCCGGGTGGCAGGGTGCTGCCGCTGCTGCAGAGCAGGCACCCCTGAGGGCGGTGGGGTGGGGGGCAAGCCGTTGGTGGCCCCAAGCAGACAGAGCCCCCCTCAAGTCCACTGCAAGGCCTCTCTCTTTGCTGGGCCTCAGTACCGTACAAAGGGGTTGCTGTTCTGCTGGGTCTGCGTATCTGTTTGGACCAAAACACAAGAGTTAGAATCTACGGATGAGCTTGCAGGCAAGAGAGATGGGTGGGCAAGAACAGGGGAAACAGGAGGTTTGGCCCTGGTGCTGTGCTCCACATTGCTTGGCTTTCTTTGGAGCAGAAGCGTGGCTGGACTTGAGGGAAGTGGGAGCCACCTGAGCATGTCTCAGCATCAAGGAAACTCCTGAAAGAAGCATTCCAAACACCATTGCTGGGCTACATCTGCTGGGCATCTCTGGCAAAACCAAACAGGTGAGGCTTTTAAGGAATCGCCAGTTCCTCTGAGGCATGAGTGATCACTTTGCTCCATATCCTCCTTCTCCCAGGGGTGTGTGTGTGTGTGTGTGTGTGTAATGCACCCTCACCCACAGCTCTCAATGCTCCAGTCAAGCTGAAGCAGCAGCACCCACCTCCCTCCCTGCAATGCATGGCTCTTCCCCGGCACATGGGCATGCGCGAAAGTGTGAAACCATTCCACAGCCCACAATACGGAGCGCTCAAGAAAGGAATCTTGGGCTGCCCTCCTCTCTGCCACCCCACCCCCCACCTCGCCCTGCAGAAACTTCTTTTTGCAAAAGTCATATGTATTCAGTAGGTCAGATCACAGCTGCTTAGCACGCTTCCCTTGCTCAACCCTCACAAGCTAGGGGAAGGTCTCTTTCACACAGGGAAACAAGGGCAGCTCCCTCCTGGGAGCCTGGACTGAAACCAGCCTTGCAAAAAGCTGCAAGCTAGATGAGGGACAGGGCAAGGGGTGAGAAAAACAACCCTCCACCAAGAGACTCTTTCCAAGCTGGGGCTTGACACTCTTACATCTTGGGACTCTTAGCTCTCTGCTGCGTTCAAAGCTGATCTTGTTCTCATGCGCCAGGGCGCCATGCATGGCTGCTGCTGCTCACTTGGGGAAGAGAAGCAAGGCAGGGGTGGCTGACTAGGGACAGGGTCCTGCCTCCTATCACAGAGGGAGAAGAGGAGCCTTGCTGGAGGGTATTTGTGTAAGAGATCACATTTCCTATGATCTTTGAAGAGAGGGCTTTCACTGTCTCCTGCACTTTCTTCTCTACAGAGCATCTTGAGCGCCACTTCGCTGTTGGCCAGGAGGACCCTGCTGTACTCTCATGCCTCATTCGCCTTCCCTGCATTCTCCACTAGTGTGGAGGAGGGGGCTGTGCCCAGGGGACTGGGGGATAAGGGACCTGGGCCTTACTGGAAAGCTGTTGCTGGAGCTGCCGAACCAAAGCTGCCGTCTGCTGCTGCTGCTGAGTCTGCTGGAGGCCTTGTCGCTGGAACTGCACAGAAAGGAGACAGGGAGAGAGGGAGTGAGAGAAAGAACAGATGTTAGAGGCTGGGTGGGAAAGAGGGAGAGGCAGCTGCCCTGGGGAGCTGAAGGGGCAGGGCATACTCACCAGAGGCTGCTGAGGAGGGATCCCCAGACCAGGAGGCTGCCCTTGGGCCTGGGCCTGGGGGACGGTGGGGACCTGGGGCTGTTGCTGGGACTGCTGAGGTGGGGGCTGCGGTTGCTGCTGCTGTGGCTGCTGCTGCTGTTGCTGCTGCAGGGGAGGAGGTAGAAAGGGAAAGAAGTACAGCCTGTTAACAAGGCTGGAAACATCATATTGGCTGTGTTCCTTCTTCCACAGGGGCAGTGGCTGCCTCTGAATACCAGCTGCCGGAAGTCGAGAGGCTGGATGCTGCACCCAGTTCCTGCTTTTGGGTCTTCCCATGGTAATCTGTTTGGTCCCTGTGAGAACAGGATGCTGGGCTAGGTGGGCCTCTGTCCTGATCCAGAAGAGCTCTTTTTCATGGTCCAATGTTTTGCACAGCAAGGTAGGAGATGTGTTTCGTTCTCATAATCTGGGGGAACCTATTGCCTTCCAGCCCCAAACAACAAGGCCAGTAGCCCTAGATGAGGGGAACTTTTGTTCCCATACCATCTGTGAAGGCTACAAATTCTCCACCCCTGTTCTAATGCGTTGACTCAGCTAGGCTGGGAGCAGTGAAGGGACCAGCACAGGTTTCTACAACGAGGCTTAGCCAAAATTCATCCATCCTTCCACTAGTGGTGATGTCGGCTAGCATAGGTGTCTTTGAAGAGAAATTTTAAAAACCCACACGGATGTTTGGCTCATCCACGGTTGCTTGCCACAGAAGCTTAATGGAGCCTCCAGATGCAAAAGCATTGTACCAGAGGTGCAGGACAAACAGCAGAGGATGGCTCTTCCACTGCCATCTGGTTGGCTGGTCACGGATGATCTGCCAAGGCTGTTCTCAGGTTTTACTGAAGACCTATTACTTCCCAACCCGCCCATCCTCTCACCTTGTCTGCAGCACAACCCTTGGGGAGCCCCGAGGAAGATGTCTGGGAGGAAGGAAGGTAAGGCGAGTTGAGTTGCCCACGCATCATATATTTACTGCACATTTAAAGCACATGCACACCAAGAATCCTTGGAACTGTAGTTTGCCCTTCACAGAGATATAATGCCCAGCACTCTTAACGAACTACAGCTCCCATGATTCTTCTTTTTCGGGGGGGGGTGCTTTAAATGTATGGTGTGTACCCAACCATTGTGAGGAGTTAATGGGGCAACCACATCCAGACCCTATTGTGCAAAACACCAGCTTGTGTTGTGAAAAAAGCCACCTCAAGGTTTCCACTCAGCTTGAAAACTTCTTCTGACACCAACCTGGCCCCGTTACTTCACAAGGTGTTGAAGATAAGACAAGAACGAGGACAGCGAGGCACTTTTTTTAAAGAATGTGAAGAAAGGAAGGAATACGAAGAAAGCAGTTGGGGTCACATGACACACCGAGGGAGGATCCCCACTTTGGCAGTTTCTTTGTGAGCACAATCCTAACCAGTCTTTACTCCTCCTTCAGGAATACAAAAATAAAACAAGATGAAATATCAAACACGTGCAAAATAAAATGAAATCAAGATGTAATTTCTCGAGTAACAATAGGGAGAAAAGCAAGGAAAAAGATCATGGGTGCGTGTTTCTCTATACGGCTACAGAGCAGTCCAGTCACGATTTAAATTCAGAATCGTTCTTATAGTGAACAGGAATCAAGTTTTCGACAGATGAACATTATTACGTATAATTTTGGTGGAAAATGCCATTTGTTTTCAGTAAGGGACCCAGCTCCCCAGGATTTCAGGAGCGGGGGTATCTCTCCATCTGGAGATGTCACTGGGGAAAGAACTTGGGACCCTCCACATGCAAAACAGATCACTGTTTAAAATTCCCATTGTTCTAGGCGCATTTTGCCACAGGGCATTTCATTAGTGTGAGCTGCTTCTGAGCTCTGGGTCCAGTACTGTGCCCAGTGCCTTTTTCCTAAAAAAATGTTTAGGGGTACTCTCATTCCATCTGAGACTCAGGAAACACCATGACAGGAAATGAGGCCGCCATTGGGGGAAGTAATTCACCGTGCCACAGAAAAAAACTAAAAAAATTAAAAACTTTAGATTCTTCTCTCATTAGTTTCACAAAATGTTTAGCGGTATGCTAGACATTTAGCCCTGTGCTCCCCCAGAAAAAAAGCAATGACTGTGCTCATGATTTCAGATTAAAACTGCAGAGTGGAAGGAAAGGAGCATCTTTTTCTGCCTCCCCACTTCTGGCTACTCTCTGAAGACCCTCTTAATAATATTAGGGGGGTGGGCAGGGGAAGGACTAGACCATGTGAAAAATGAACATGATATTTTAGCTGCAGTTCATTAATTTTCAGTTTTGTTATAAAAAAGTGTGCCTAGATATTCCATTCAGACATCTGAAGGCAGCCCTGTTTAGGGAAGTTTTTAATGTTTTAATTTGAAGTTTTATTCTCTTTTTAATGTTCTGTTGAAAGCTGCCCAGAGTGGTTGGGGAAACCCAGCCAGATGGGCGGGGTAGAAATGATAAATTATTGTTGTTGTTGTGCCCGTAACTTAGGTTTAAGGTGCCATTTAGTTCCTAGCTTTCATATCTCAGTTTCTAACACTGAGCTATAAATTTACTAATTTATAGTAAATAAATTAAAATATTAAAATGGC